GTACATACTACCGTCCTGCCAAGTGACTGTAAAATGAAAGCCTGTAATTGTTTTACATGATGGTAGGATTGCTGGTGTCTTTTTTCTGTCTCATAAACACGCAAGATTTCAGGTACGTCTTGCTACTTCCACTTACGCTTAGGTCACACTACACATACATGTACAAGCATATATATACACACCCCTCTGGGTTTTCTTCTATTTTCTTTCTAGTTCTTGTTCTTGTTTATTTCCTCTTATGTCCATGGGGAAGTGGAACAGAATTCTTCCTCCGTAAGCCATGTGTGTTGTAAGAGGCAACTAAAATGCTGGGAGCAAGGGGCTGGTAACCTCTTCTCCTGTATATATTACTAAATGTAAAAGGAGAAACTTTCGTTTTTACTTTTGGGCCACCCTGCCTTGGTGGGATATGGCCGGTGTGTTGAAAGAAAGAAATAATAATAATAATGATAGTGATAATAGTATAATATAATACAGTAAACCATTATTTAGCACAATTTGGGTATAGCACGACTGAAGAATTGCAACACAATTTTATGTAACTCATCGTAAAATTAATTTAACACGGTTCAGTTTGTGGGAAGGAAAAAAAAATTCCCTTTTCCTCAAGCAGCCGCCTTGTTGTGGATCAGCCGGGGGAGACCTCCCGCCATCCCCTGCCACCAACCAACACCACCTCACCATCCCAGCATTCGTACTTCATACGTGTCCAGTCCAGTCCTTCTCTGCTACAAGCTAGCTGTGTTTGTGAATTGTGTTTTAATCTTCTAATTACTATATCTTGTATCTGCCAAGCAATCATGACACCCAGTAGGCATACCAGTGTTGCTGAAAGTGGCAAGAAAAGGTATAAGCATTTAAGTCTTAGAATTAACGAAGAAAACAAAGATATTAAACAAAAGATAACCATAATGAAGTGTTACTTTGTGCACATAAAAAGAGGTAAACATGAGTTTGTGACTGACTGACTTAGTGAATGACTGATTTACTGACTTGACTGAATGACTTAAACTTAGACACTCCAGTACAACCATCGACTTCAGTACCACAACCTCTACCATCCACCTCAATCCAGTAGGGCCACAGCATAACTCTCCACATTTGTAGCCTTAATCAGTAAAAACAACATAATACATCACAACAATGAACTACAATTACATATTCACTTTTATTTTTGTAAGATGTTGAGGCCTAAAAATAAGCTGTTTGGCTTCTTTTGGGCTCCCAGGAGCGTAACCCTATTTTTCCCACAAGTTCTTCAGTTCATCTAACACGGTTTTACCTAACACGGCATTTTCAGGACGTAACTACCATGTTAAATGACGGTCTACTGTATAGTAGTAATAATAATAATAATAATACATATAATAATAATATAATAATGTACTATAATAATAATTATAATAATAGACGGCTTAGAAAGACTGTCACTAGATGGTAGTGAATACCACAACAATGAGGGAGCTGTTATGGCTGCCTCCACTTGTCACATAATGACATATTTTATTCATTCTAGAGTATATATCAGGTTTCTGTTATTTATATTGTTTATTATGTCACATTAGATCATTTGTGATAGATAAATAGGCCACAGAGTTGATATTGGCATTATATTGAAGTGTATTTTTCCTGCTTCTGAGAGCAGGAATTCCACTGGAACAGATTAATGGCTTTTCAATTAATTTAAATGAGAAAAATTGACTCAGCATATGAACAAATCAGGATACGAACAAGGTCACGGAACAGATTAAATTCGTAAGCCTAGGTTCCACTGTAATAAATTTATTTGGACATGATACATGGTTGTACAAAGAAATGTAATACTTGAGTGTACATGCCAAAAGGGAGTGGACCTATCATCAGATGGGTAAAAGGTGATTAGTGCACTGGGGAGTCTGTGGAGACAAAGAACTTTATCCATGAAAGTAAAGAGGGGAATGTATGAGAGCATAGCTATACCAATGCTTTTGTATGGGTGTGAGGAATGGGTGGTGAATGTTGCAACAAGAAGGCTGAAGGCATTGGAGATGTCATGTCTGAGGACAATGTGTGGTGTGAATATAATGCAGAGAATCCATAGTTTGGAGATTAGGAGGTGTGGGATTACCAAAACTATTATCCAAAGGGCTGAGGAGGGGTTACTGAGATGGTTTGACATGCAGAGAGGGTAGAATGACTTCGAGAGTGTGTAAATCTGTAGTGGAGAGAAGGCGGGGTAGGGGTAAGACTAGGAAAGGCTGGAGGGAAGGGGTAAAGGAAGTTTTGTGTGTGAGGGGCTTGGACTTCCAGCAAGCATGCGTGAGCATGTTAGATAGGAGCAAATGGAGACAAATGGTTTTTAGGACTTGATGTGCTGTTGGAGCATAAACAAGGTAACATTTATGAAGGGATTCAGGGAAACTGGCAGGCCGGACTTGATTCCTGGAGATAGGAAGTGCAGTGCCGGCAATCTGAAGGAGAGGTTAATATTGCAGTTTTATAACTGTAGTGTAAGCATGCCTCTGGCAAGACAGTGATGGAGTGAATGATGATCAGAGCTTTTCTTTTTTGGGCCACCCTGCCTCGGTGGGAAACGGCCGATGTGTTAATAATAAAATACATAAAAAATAATTTGTAGATGGTCAGAGTTTTGCTTTACCCATTGTGCACCGCATGGGAGACTTTTTTTCTTAAAATGTGTAACACACACCACACAGACCCATTCTCTCTTATCTAGGCCAAAATTTACCACTCACAACTTATCCAAGCAAGCTGAGCTCATGACATAAAATTACACGTGGGACCCCAGGCCTTAATGACACAGTTCTATGTGATGGCCACTGAAAGAATTAAATTACATAAACCACTTACCTGCCCTCAACTTTGTCTAACACATTCACATATGCCTGCTGGATGCAACAAATCCTATATTAAAATTAATAAAAATCACAATTAAGTCTGAATAAAAACAAATCATAGATTCAGCATCTCCAACTAACCTGAGCTCTCCTGGTTTTCCCCTTAAATTCCATGTGGCCAGGACTTCCAGCAGGAACATCTGGAAAGTCACAGCACTGCCACCTGAAATGTGAACAGACTTAGTAAAAGCAAGTGAATGAACTTGTAACATTAAGTACATTAGACTTATAGACAACAATTACATACAAACTTATCCCCATTATCATTATATCCATGGGAAGAGCTAAACCTATAAGGATCATACAGCACCTGGAGAATGGAAATGGTGTGAGATCATGAGGTCTGATCCAAGGAAGAGGAAGGACATTCCAATTTTTTGAATCAAGTGCCCTTCACAAGCATCAAGGCACTACCCACTAAAGACACTCACAACCACAGCAATATCAAAATGGTAGTTAACTAAATGCATTTTGGTCATAATGCAATCTGATGTATTACTCTCTGTATCACATAACATAAACCTCAATAAAAAATATCCAAACATGTTCAATGAAATTAGCATATTAGCCTCACAACACATTTTATTATTAGCACACTGGCCGATTCCCACCAAGGCAGGGTGGCCCGAAAAAGAAAAACTTTCACCATCACTCACTCCATCACTGTCTTGCCAGAAGGGTGCTTTACACTACAGTTTTTAAACTGCAACATTAACACCCCTCCTTCAGAGTGCAGGTACTGTACTTCCCATCTCCAGGACTCAAGTCCGGCCTGCCGGTTTCCCTGAATCCCTTCATAAATGTTACTTTGCTAACACTCCAACAGCATGTCAAGTATTAAAAACAATTTGTCTCCATTCACTCCTATCAAACACGCTCACGCATGCCCGCTGGTAGTCCAAGCCCCTCGCACACAAAACCTCCTTTACCCCCTCCCTCCAACCTTTCCTAGGCCGACCCCTACCCCGCCTTCCTTCCACTACAGACTGATACACTCTTGAAGTCATTCTGTTTCGCTCCATTCTCTCTACATGTCCGAACCACCTCAACAACCCTTCCTCAGCCCTCTGGACAACAGTTTTGGCAATCCCGCACCTCCTCCTAACTTCCAAACTACGAATTCTCTGCATTATATTCACACCACACATTGCCCTCAGACATGACTTCTCCACTGCCTCAAGCCTTCTCCTTGCTGCAACATTCATCACCCATGCTTCACACCCATATAAGAGCATTGGTAAAACTATACTCTCATACATTCCCCTCTTTGCCTCCAAGGACAAAGTTCTTTGTCTCCAAAGATTTCTAAGTGCACTGCTCACCCTTTTCCCCTCATCAATCTATGATTCACCTCATCTTTCATAGACCCATCCACTCTCAAATATCTGAATACATTCACCTCCTCCATACTCCCTCCCTCCAATCTGATATCCAATCTTTCATCACCTATTCATTTTGTTATCCTCATAACCTTAAACTGTCCAAACGTAGATCTACGTTCGCTCGCGTAGCTCTCCAAGTGTAGATCTACGTTTTTTTACATTCTTTCTTACGGGGAAAATAAAGGTCGGAGCGCTATGTGTAAAAACGTAGATCTATGTTTGGACAGTTTAAGGGTTAGAGCCAATGAGAGGAGGTATCCCTAGTTTATCCCACAGAAACCAGTATCACAATTTCTTTAATACATTTAGCAAATGGTGTAAAAATTGAATTTAGGGATTTAATTTTTTAAGCTATATGACACATTTTGTAAATTCTCCTTTATTATGTGCATTGACCAATAGACAAAGTTTGATTTTGAGCCTATGAGACAGCAGTTATTTTTACTAAGTAAACTTAACCTAACAAACCCAATCTAACTCTCTTATTTTAAAAATAAATTTGGCAAATTGGTGCCTATGCAGAGCAACAGCATTTCCAACCATACACTATGTAATATACACTGGTGTTGAATATTTGAAGACCAATGGAAGTGGATACCTTACCTTACCTCTTTTTAACTGCTAAATCCATTTACTTCCCAGGATTCCCTCACTTTATTGATTTTGTTTAAGCTGCTACTAAATATTGAGTGATGTATCTGCCACTCCTCTGAAAACATGCACATCCATTAGTTTACTCAATAACCTTTTGTCTACTAAAATATGGTTCAACCCTTTGACTGTTTTGGTTGTATATATACGTCTTATGAACCAGCGTTTCGGATGAATATATACTCAATAATTCTACCGGCTTCAAATCAGCAGGAGAAAGCTGGTAGGCCCACATGTGAGAGAATGGGTGTGTGTAGCCAGTGTGCACCACATAAAAAAAATTCTGCAGCACACAGTGCATAAGAGAAAAAAACTGACCATTTTTTTGGATTAAAACGCCGACTATGAGGTGTATTTTCATATAGTATTTATCATTGTATTCTCATTTACATGGTCTCACGTGATAAAATGGAAAACATACTACAGAAGTAGAGATGATTTTGATTAGTTTCATGATGAAAACAACCTTGAAATTGAGCACAAATTAGTGGAAATGTTCGATTTTCACCAATGTTCAGGAGTAAGCAAATCACACCACACATCCAATACACGTCAACTGGGGAGTCTAATACTCTTTCACTAGTGCACTGATATTATTTATACCATTTTTACAATAATGCAGTACTCTGCATAACAGTAAATTTTGTATTTTTTGAATGAATAAAAAATCAAAATAGAAAGCAATAGTAATATAAGAGGGGCCTAGAGACATGACTAATGAACAGAGGATATGTTATTTTAGTGCCAAGAATGTCTACATTGTTTATTCTGGACCCTATTTTGAAAATGGCATTTTTTTAATTTGCGTGAAATTGGCCAAATTGCCAATTTCTGGCCACTTTATTGGGTAGTTCAAATTAGTAAATGGGCAGTTTCTTGTACTCAACTCATAGAAAAAATGGAGTTCTAAAGAAACAGCTATGAGTTTGGTCAACTGGAACAACGGAATTGGCCAAAAACAGGGCTCAAAGTCGGAGAAATTTCCGATGCGTATGTGTCGCTGAGACCGCTAACTTCACAGGAGCGTAATTCCGTAAGTTTTAGACCAAATTTCGTACTTTTGGTACAATTACAACCGGGAGAAGATTCTCTATCATTTCATAAGAAAAAATAATTTGTTTCCAAAAATTTTGTGACATAGAATGACAGTTTCAGAAAGGGGCTTGCGACAGTCAAGAGTTAATAATCTGCTATCATTGCATCCTATATCGTATCTCACATTTATTTTTTTTTCCTAAAAGTAATATCTATTATCTAACTTTTTTCTACAGACAGCTCAACTCTGGGTTTTCCCCATTTTCATTTACCCTTGGCACTCCAAACTTACCGACTAAAACATGTAAAACCATCTCCTCCACCTTATCATTTAGGTCCCCATCAACACTAATTCTCTCACTTGATTCAAAATTCCCAAAACATGCACTTAACATTTCCCAAAAATCCCTCTTCTACATGTCTCACCACCACGTACATATACACCATAGCCCACTTCTTGTATTCCACCTTTATTCTAGCCCACATAATTCTTGAGTTTATACACTTATAACCCCTGTTTTCTTTCCATAATTGATCATTTAATATTACTGTTACTCCTTCATTAGCTCCTCATCTCTCAGATACACCTCAACTAATCCCATTTACCACTACCCAATGAAATTCTCCTAACTTTTTTTTTCAGCTTTATTTCATTTAGTGCCAAGATATTCTTAACATTAACATCAAATCTTTCTTATAAGCTGCACTACACTGATGCACGTTCAAATACCCCAACGGCAAAATTTTCTTTGATTTTGCAATACAGAAAACCCTCAATATAAGAGACTTATGAGGGGATTGTCCAAGTGTCCCTTAACCCTTTACCGGGCAGTGCCTCAATAATGAGGCACCAAAAGCATGGTTTTCATGGCGCCATAGACACAAAGCATATGCTCCCAGAGACTTCTCGCCTCAATCCAGCCAATCACACACCTTCTGGGCGGAGCTTGAAGGTGGCGTCACTCGGGTACTGTCCTCTGCTATTGGCTGGGAGCTCCTCGAGTGTTCAGTACTGCTTGACTTGTTGAAGGAGCAGCATTTCGACCCTCACTCTCCTGATATTTCACCAATTTACACCACTCCAGAATGTCGGTAAGTTTCTGAATGTGTTTCCAGTGCATTATTGAATGTTTGAACTTCATTTTGAGATGTAAATGAATTGCCTGAGGCATTGAGAAGTAACAAATAAATGCACTTGAAGTTTTGTTTACCTTTTTGGTATCAATATTGAGGCCTGGCCTGACAATGGTAGATTATCACTTACTGTTTTTGTGTCAATATTGAGGCTCAGCCTGACAATGGTGATAAGAAATGGGCCAATGAAGGTATCATATATCATGGATTAACAGATCATAATTAGACCGTCTTTGTCACTGATAGCTAACAATTGCATGCTGAATCAAATTCATTGATATATGAGTAATTTTACCTTGTAAATTTATGAAATTTGCTCATATAGAATGCTCATTTTGTGTTTTCTGTTCATTTCAGTTGAACACAAATGTGTTTTATGGATCAAGGGCTCAAAGAAGAAGGGATTACATCGTGCCAGAGTTACATGATGACAGTGACCCTAATGAGGAAGTGGATTCTGGAGATGATTATAAGCCACAGGCAAATGATGCTTCTTCAAGTGAAGATGAACATGAAAATGTGTCTAAGAGAAGTGGGCAAGTTAATGTAAAACGAAGAAATGTACGAAAACAAGCAGTTAAAGATGATGAGGTTGAGGTAGATGAAACAACTGTCAACAACACTAATGCCACCTGGAGCAAACTTGACATAACAAATACTCCATTACCTGACTACAAACATGAGGTACCAACACATATCAAGGAACCATTTCAATATTTTTGTCAATTATTTACTGCAGAAATGTTAGAAAGCCTTGTATTTAACACAAACTTGTATGCAACACAGAAAGATGTTAATACTAACTTCAACACCACTAGTGAAGAGCTTATGCAATTTGTTGGAATTCTGATATTCATGAGTATGGACACCCTGCCCTCTTTAGAAGATTACTGGTCCCATAATCATTGTCATCCTGATATTACAACTGTTATGACATCTAAAAGGTTTAGGTCACTAAGGACAGCTATTCATATAAATGATAATACCAAGGCAACAGCTGACAGGTTCCATAAAGTAAGACCACTGTTTGAAGGTCTAAGAAAAGCATGCCTAACAGTTCCAGGTACACCAAAGCAATCAGTTGATGAGGTAATGGTAGGATATAAGGGAACAAGAGCAGGAAATCTCAGGCAATATATCAGGACCAAGCCTGATAAATGGGGGTTTAAACTTTTTTGCCGGGCCAGCGATGATGGATTTATACATGACATAATGATGTATCAAGGTCAAACAACATTTGATTATCACAGTGTTAGTCTAACAGAGGAGGAGAAGAAAATGCCTATAAGTTCCAAGGTTGTTATTTGCCTTGCAAAGACTATGGACCACACAAAGACCAGTGCAATTTATGCAGATAACTTCTTTACCAGTTTGCCTCTAGTGAAATATCTGCATGCTACATTCAATTGCAGGTACACAGGCACTGCAAGGGACAGCAGAATTGGAAAACCACCACTTATGTCTGTCAATGACATGGAAAAAACAAAGGTGAAAAGGAGTGCTATGGATTACTGTTCATTGGATAGTGTCCTTGCTGTACGTTGGAAAGACAGTAAGGTTGTTACTTTACTGACTAATGATATTGGTATCAACCCAGTGACAAAGATAAAGAGGTACAGCAAGGAGCTCAAACAAAAGGTGGAAGTTGACTGTCCTGCAGTGATAAAGAATTATAATGCCCATATGGGGGGCATAGATAAGAATGATATGTTGGTGCATCTCTACAAGTCTCCACTCAAAGCAAAACGCTGGTACATGAGGCTCTTTGGATATGTCATTGATCTTTGTTGTGTCAATGGCTGGTTGTTGTACAGGCGTGAATGTGGTGTTTTGAAAGAGAAATACATGAACCTCAAGGAATTTCGGTTTTCCATCTCCAATTCTGCAAGAAAGTCAACCAATGGAATCCCAAGGAGCCTGAGATCTCCAAGTTGTTCAACTTCACGGTCTTCTTCAAGGTCTTCTTCAGTTGATGACATTCCCAATCGGCATAGAAAAAGGTCTAATGATACAATATTTGATGAAACACAAAAACACTGGCCAGTTTCTGCAAAGAGGCTTTCATGTAAACATTGCAACACCAAGAACAAGAGGACCTACTCTTCCTTTGCTTGTTCCTTCTGCAAGGTTAATTTATGTCTAAATTCAATGAGGAATTGTTTCCTGGAATTCCATAGGCAACAACATGCTTAAATTCCTCTGATAATATTTTTGTAACATTTTTTCAATTTTTTTATAAAATGTCAATTACTAAAAATGTCTTAAATTTATTGAAATCAAGTTTCTGTGCCTTTTGTTTACCCAAGTTGTTTATGAATAAACCTTAAAAGTAAATTTATGCCTTTAATTATCAGTTATAACAGCTGTTATGATTCTTTTAGACAAATACCTTTGTCAGGCTTGCATCAAATTTGATGCCTGATCTGTCACCTACAGTTTAACCATTGTCGGGGAGTGCCTCATATTTGATACGGCCAAAAAGGGCATTTTATGGCCCAAAAATAAATAAACTCAAAAAATGATCACAAATAAATATGTCTTAGAATTGCATATACTGTCACAATATAGGTTGCAATTGTTGCATTTGCTCAAATATGAGGCACGGCCCGGTAAAGGGTATTAATTCAGAATACAGTAATGTTAAAAATAAGCAAATACAGCACTTAAGTACTCTGCTGAATACCAAATACTGCCTCTCCTCACTTAGCGACTTACGACAGCCTGTCTAAAAATTAAGCATACCTAACCCTTTCAGGGTCCCCAGGTCCTCTCAGAGACTTGTTCTCAGGGTCGCCAAAATTTAAAAAAAAAAAAAAAATATTTTTTCTTATGAAAAGATAGTTTTTGTTTTTAAATCTTATAGGCTAAACAAAAATTTTTTACCATCAATACTTACCGAGATATGGAGGCGTGAAGTTGACAGAAAATGCCTGGTATATGGTAACATCGCCGACCGCCGTCACCTGGTATTACATTATTTAGTTTTTATGTACTATTTTCTATTATTTTTAAATTTTTTTTTCCAAGTAACTTTTATGGCCTGTGAGACCAATATGATCACTATTTTGTAAGTTATTTCTTTTTCTATACTACACAATAACTGCATAAACACTGTTGTCACTGTTTTGCTTACAGAAAATATTTACACAAACAAATGACATGAAATGTTGTTTATTACTATTTTTCTATATTTTATATACACATATACAGTCACAGGGAATGTTTCTAGAAGTTCTGCAGCCTGTGGAAGTCTTTGAAACATGGTGTCATGCACAGTGGTGTTTTACACTCCTCACACATAAAACGAGTGTCTCTGCATTGTTGTGGGCGTTTTTTTTGTATGTGCACAGATGTAACGCCTCTTCTGAGCCTTTTTCTTGAAAGCAGTAGCAGGCAGTTTTACTAGGAAGTGATCACCATGCTTCAGACGAGAAGGTAGTTGTTGATAATTTAGTGGGCGGTCTATTGCAGGTGTTGTTCCTTGGCACTTGAATACTATTTGTCTGATGACAGACAAACAGAATTCGCCATATGGTGGTTTGTTTCTGGTCCTCATCTTATACATATTATAAGCATTGAGCATGGAAATGTCCAGAAGATGGAAAAAGAGTTTTATGTACCACTTATAAACTCTTGCGAGCACAATCAGCAAACCCAATCTGCATGTCACATTTGTCCACTAAGTGCATATTGAGGGTGTAATCAATCACAGCTGCAGGTTTTAGAATGGGTTCATTGCTGTCTCTATGCTGCCTGCCAGTGTTTGTCATTTCGTTAGGGTGAACTGATGACAACAGTGTGACATCTCGTTTGTCATGCCACCGAAATGCCATAATGCCATTGGCAGCAAACGCCTGCACCTCACCTCTACGAGTGCCAGTGTCAAACCTGGGGATATGTTTAATGATTTGCATGCACTGTGCCACACACATCTGTCATGTTCACTCGCAAAAAATCACGAGTGAGGGGCTTGTGTACCAGTTATCAGTATAGTATAATATATGCCCCTCACCAAGGTATGGTTCTATCATTGTTTCTAACCACATCACCAGAGATGCCCAATAACTTCCTGGTATTTTGCAATGTATAACTTCTAGTGTACACAATAATATCCAATACCAGACCACTGTAACAATCACAAAGCACAAACAACTTCATACCAAAGCATTTCCTCTTGCTTGTTATGTACTGCTTGAAAGAGAGTCTTCCTTTGAACAGAATCGAAGACTCGTCAATAACAAGCTTCCTGAAGAGATAAAAATACATGTTGAATTTCTCTTTCAGATACACAAACACATTCCTAATCTTATATAACCTGTCGTTTCTGTCAGGCCTGGTTTTGTCTGAGAAGTGAAGCATACGTAATAGTAGCACAAATCGATTCACTCCCATTATATCACTGAAACCTGGGGTCGCAATCAGGTGGTCTGTTGACCAGTATGATTTCACACTGTGCTTATACACATGTGGCATAAGCATTATTGTGGCAAAGAAAAGATACATCTCAGCCACAGTTGTCTCCTTCCACTTGTGTAGCCGTGAGCTTGGTGAAAGTACAGTACTGTGTTTGCCATGGTGTACTCGTAGTATCTGTTGCTTTCCCTGACAATGATTTCCATTAGGGTTCGTCAAAGAATAACTCGAAACATTCCAGTTCACTGGTGTACAACATGGCCGTATTCCACTTTGGCTTTCATCAAACTGGTGGGGATTTGGAACAAAATTGACAGCTTCCTGCCAATCCCAGGTGCAGTCTGCTGGTGGGTACTGGACATTGACAGGTGGTTATGGTTGTGGAGGCTGGTGTGGTGGGTGGGTGGGGGGTGGTGGCCTTTGTTGTAGATCAGATGAGACAGTGGCGTGGGTGGCAGCGTGGCCCACTGCTGGTGCCTCACAGCCAGTACCACCACTACCACCACCATGCACATTTTCCATCCCAATTGCAACACTATCATCATCATTTTCACTGTCTGTTCCTGTTGTACAGCCACGGGATGTACTCTGAGATGTACTCCTTCCCCTTGGAATAGCATATGGCACACTACCATAGCGCATATATCGTTGTATATACTGACGCTTCACTGGAGAATATTCCACTTCACTATCACTACTGGAACTGTTTTCAAGAGCTTGTAATTCATATTCACTATCACTATCATCATCACCAATGCTCACATCTGAGTCCGGGATTTGGAAAATAGGAGTTTCCTCTTTGATTCTGGTACAACTGAACATGAACAAGACGGCCCAGCAGCAGAGGTGGAAGGCTGAGGGTCGTCTGGGTTTTCCTCACTATTACCGATATTATGGTCATTAGTTTCGATCACAACCTCACCAAAACCTTGAAACTCATCTTCACTGGCACTTCCATCTGTATTAGAACTGTCACTGGGGAACAAAAGTGCCCAATTCGCCGAGGAGTAAGGAGCTTCTTACCGCGAGGCATGGTGAACAAGGTCTACTAAAATGGCGTTCCCACAATGTGCCACTGGGTCCCAGATTTTTTTTCTACTGCTCACACCGACCCCACACACACCCATTCTCTCACATCTAGGCCTACCAGCCTTTTCCTGCGAGATTTGAAGGCACTAGAATTTATGCGTACTAGTATGTCAAAAACCCTGGCGCATAAGCCGTACTAGTACGGCCGAAACCCTGAAAGGGCTAAACTATGTACAGTGGGACCTATACTTGTGAGTTTAATCCATTATATGACCTTGCTCGTAACTGGATTTGCTCGTTTGCAGAGTCAATTCTCCTCATTTAAATTAAATGAAATGCAATTAATCCATTCCAGTGGAATTCTGTACTTCAATAATTTTGCTAATATCAACTCTACGGCTTATTTATCTATCACAATTCATCTAACATGACATAATAAACAATATAAATAACATTGAAACCTAATTTATACTCTAAAATTAATAAAATATGTCATTCATGTAATGGTATGGGCGGCGTCGGCAGTGGATGAGAGTTTGTCTGGACGCAGGGCAAAATACTTCTTGAATATTTCGCTATCATCAATTCTATGGCTTATTTATCTATCACAGTTCATCTAATATGACATAACAAACAATATAAATAGCATAGAAACCTGATATATACATGTACTCTAGAATGAATAAAATATGTAAATATATATGTGACGGAGGCAGCGGCCGACGAGTGTTTGTCTGTAATAAAGTTGGTAGAATTACCGACAATATGTAAAGTAAATGGACACAAGTGCAACTAATGTGACATTTATTGTGGCAACGTTTCGCTCTCCATGGCTTGATAAAGCTCCTGGAGAGCGAAACGTTGCCACAATAAATGTCACACTAGTTGCACTTGAGTGTTTGTCTGGAGACAGGACAAAATACTCCTTGAATATTTCGCTATCATCAACTCAACAGCTTATTTATCTATCACAGTTCATCTAATATGACATAACAAACAATATAAATAACACAGAACCCTGATATATACTCTAGAATGAATAAAATATGTCATTATGTAACAGGTGGATGCAGCCACAACTGCTCCCTCATTCTTGTGGTAAGCACTGCCATCTAGTGACAGCCTTTTGAAGCCATCTATTATTACAGTTATAATGTAGTACATTATTATATATATGGATTAATATTATTTATTATTATTATACTATTATTATACATATTATTATTATTAATATTATTATTATTAATATTATTATTATTATTATAATATAAATAATTTGTAATTTTTATTCACAAAAAATATAAGATTTAGTGTTATGCAGACTACTGCCTTATTGTAATAATTGTATAAATAATGTCAAGCCATTCATGACTGCATATTGGAAAGGACAGTGATGTCATTTGTTTACTCTTGAACATAGCCAAAACAATCGAACATTTCTCCTACATTGAGCTCAATTTCAAGGTACTTTTCATCGTGAAAGCAATCAAAATCATATCTATTTATGTAATATATCTTCCATTTTATCAAATGAGACCAAAAAAGCGAGAATACAACCATAAAAACCATACGAAAATACCACTAAGGGGCGGCTAATTGCTGAGAAGTGAGCTCCATTATTTATGCTCCAATTTCTTTCATTTTTGGTATACGTTAAGAAGCATCTTTCCATCATACATTGCCCAAGTTTCAATAAGACAGTCCAACAAACAAATGAGATCCAATTACCTAGATCAAAAGCAAGAGCCCCTCATCAAGGTCAAGGAACCTTCCTTGAGGTCTGCTCGCTTATGGAAATTTCACTCGCGTGTGGAAGCAAAAAATTGACCCATCAACTGCTAGTATGTATTTGGAAAAACTCGCACGTGGATGCACTCGCAAGTAGAGGTTCC